TTAGCACAAAGATTTTTAATCTAATCTTTTAAATATTACACTATAAAAACAAAAGTATTGTCTAAAAAAAAAAAGGCGTCTTCTACCTTAATGCCACCCTGCAAAAAATATACAAAACAAAAAATTAGATAGCATTATCCCAAAAAAGGTAGGGAACAACAAAAATAATGTAATGCTATAAAGAACATAAACCTGTAGATGAATAAATGAGAACAATCTTGGTTCATCATATAATGTTATAAAAACCATTGCAAGAAATCCTTACCACCATTTACACTATAAAAACTAAAATCTTCTTTTGCATGCCAATATACAATATCTTCGAACTTCAATTTGAACGAAAACTCCTATGTCTTGATACTGATTGTCTCTCTCAAATTAATATTTAAAATCTAAAAAATTTTAAAATTTTTTACATCTACATTCGACAATTAAAAGGGAAACACAAGTACAACATAGATATAAGTTATTGAACAAAAGAATACTTTTAGTGCATTATCTTCTTCAATGTATTTTTTTAACCCAGCAACAAGAAGTCCACCAAAGGCAATAAGTAAGTGTCTACCAAATTAGAGAAACAAGCAAATCATAAATTTATTTTGAATGAAATTTGATCTAATGAAATTAGTTCACAGAGATGAATAAATGTTAATGCTAAAGTCAGTCAAGGATTAGTGTATATACTTAATGTTTAAACAAGCACAAGATGAGAAGCTAATCATCTTGAGTCACAAGAGGATAGTTTGAAGCACTGAGATTAAGAAACTAATCCCTATATATCTTTCTATCGCTCAAGGTGAATCATGAATGTCACAAGCATGAAAGGTGCTTGATGCCATGGTTGGTCCTCTATACCCATATTAACCGTTTTTATCATAAAAAAACATTTCCAACTTTAGCAAACAGAGGGTGCTTCAATTTTCAATTCTAGAAGCAAGCTCCAACCTTTCCTCCAACGGTGATTCAAGGTCAAGATGAACAGCCCGAGGGAGGTAGAGAGCAAAAAGGGTACTCTTAACTCAGCGAAGCCAAAATATAAAATATAATATTAAAAAAATGAAAAATTCAAGTATATAATGTCAAATATTATATGAAAAATTGTTTACTACATATTTTCAACCCCAAATAAGGCCAAATTGTTTTTTTTTTTACCAGCGAAGCTCAAATTGTTTACAATATAGAGAGAAGCAGACAATTAAAAATTTAAAATATATTGACATGTCCAGAAGTGGATGCGTGAAGAGACATTAAGAGAAGACTCATCCGAAAATGTAGAGAAATTCAATGCAGATCATGTATCCAAATCGTTTTCTCAGCACATTAGGCAATTATATTCCTGCAGTATTGAAGTATTATCTGCGATATATCCAATGTTACGATCTACGCCATTATAGAACTATATATATATATATATATATAATTGGAAAAATTAATCTTTTAGTCATTCAACTTTTAACTCACTTGTAACTCAATCCCTCAACTATGACCAGCTGCGACTCAGTCCCTCAACTATGACTCGCTAAAACTCAATCCCTCAACTTTTGATTTACCTATAACTCGGTCCTTATTTTTTTTTTAAAATTTTTTTATCAAATAAGAGGGATAAAAAAAATGCTCATATATTATTTTAAAATACCCTCTTCTTATTCATTAATGTGAGATATAAGTTAACATGAATAAAAAAATTAACAAAGGTTAAAGGACTAATTTGTAACTCAACTATGACTCGCTAAAACTCAATCCCTCAACTTTTGATTTACCTATAACTCGGTCCTTATTTTTTTTTAAAATTTTTTTATCAAATAAGAGGGATAAAAAAAATGCTCATATATTATTTTAAAATACCCTCTTCTTATTCATTAATGTGAGATATAAGTTAACATGAAAAAAAAAATTAACAAAGGTTAAAGGACTAATTTGTAAGTAATTCAAAAGTTGAAGGACTGAGTCATAGGCGAGTTATAGTTGAGGGACTGAGTTACAAGTAACTTAGAAATTGGAGGACTAAAAGATTAATTTTCCCTATATAATTTAATGGCCCTATTCATACAGATTAAGCTCAAAGCAATTACTAAAAAATGGTCTAAAATAGTAATTATTTAATTTTAATTTGCCATAATCAAGGTCTACAAAGAGTTCTCATAACTAATGTTAACATATACATAGAAGCTTATAAACTAGAGACTATGCAAACGCGTTACTCTTCAGATAATGCCTCTAATTCAAACGGCTTCATCACGATACAGAACAGTACTAGATTCTGCTTTGAGACTTAAGAGTGTTCATTATTCACTCTATTACTGCTTTATGAAAAACATAATAAAAGAGACGCACGGGGTTTTGACTTTTAATTAATATATCAGATTCATGGATAGGTCATGAAAAGATGTAGATAAAATGAGCATCGACAGATTCAAAAATGGAATCCATTGCTTAAATGGACTGAACCGAAGCAGCAGAGGATGCACGGATCTTAAAGCTTACCTTCAGTAGAGTTACAGATCCGAAAGAGAGGAGAAGACAAGAACGCCAAAGACGAAGCTTCCTCTGACGCACGGCTTAGATCTAAAGAGGGGAGAAGACGGGATGCCTACCGACTACTTCAACGGAACACACGACGGCACGTGATGCAAATTGGACTCTACAGCTTTGGGGCTCGACGGACGTGTCACAGCGGATCGACAATGACTTCGGCAGCTCCTCGGATAGACTTTGATAGCAGGTCTTCCACTAGGTTGCGGCTGGAGGGAGAGCATGGGAGCGTCGAGACAGTGAGAGATTCCTAAGGGGTTAAATCTGAAAAATGAAAATATGGCAGGGAATTAGATGACCAAGGCCTTATTTTTATTTTTTATTTTTTTAATTAAGACTTATGAGAACACTTTCTTAAAAAAGCGCTCTCATAGGACTTTGGAATTGGAGTGCCTAGAAGAAAGCGCTCCAGTACCATAGCATATGGGAGCCACTTGCTCCAGAGAGCGCTTCCATACATTAATTTTTTTTTTAATTTAATTTATAATAAAAAATTTTATTAATTTAATTAAAAATACATTTAATTATTCTTTCAACTGAGATTTTTTTTACTAAAACCTTATTATTTCATCTAACTTGATGGAGAGTTATAATTATTTTTACCCATTAATTATCACGATATTAATTTATTATTTCACTTTAACATATGTAATTTATTCATTTAATTATTTTTCAAAGTATTTTTTTAAATTTTTCATTTATATCAATCACTATGTAATTAATTTTTGAAAAAACATAACTTTAAGTCTTTGCATTTTATTTATGTTTTGCTATTGATCCCTATATTTTTTTGGGTGTTTTAGGTCCCTACATTTTTATTTCTTAATATTTTAGGTCTTTTCATGAACAAAGTATAAAGGACCTTGAAGGGACTTAAAATATTAAAAAATAAAAGTATAGAAACATAAAACACCCAAAAAAATGTAGGGACCAATAGCAAAACACGAGCAAAGTGCAAGAACCCAAAGTTATATTTTTCCTTATTTTTTTCAATTTATGAGATTAAATACTGTTATATGTAGTGAATTTTCTTCAATCTTTTAAAATATACTCTATTGGAGCACTTATGAGAAAGCGTACCTATAGGAATGCTTTTTCCGGAAGTGCTCCTATAGGTGAAATCTTCTGGAGTGCTTTTACAATAAGCACTCCTATAAGTAATGTCTTCCAGAGTGCTTTTTGTTAGAAGCGCTCCAATAGACTCTGCTTCTATTTTTTGAAGTTTTTTTATATAAGCAATCTGATCTTGTAAAACTTTTTTGTAGTAGTGAGCGTTACCTATTATTTAAGGCAATGGTTTTCTACATTTTGGGTAACATTTAGTATTTCTTTTCCTACTTAGAATTTTGAACCTTGAACATCTTGAATATAAGTCAAGCCTCTAACCCCTTTTCCAACATTACTACTACTTCGTTTCTATTTGTAAGAGAAACTATCCGTTTCTATTTATAAGAAAAACTATCACTTTTTACTTGTTTTTTTATATAAACAAAATCACATATTTCAATAAGTATTTATTACACATTTCCTAAATTGTCCCTCATAATTTATATTGATGAGAAATAATTAATGCATGCTTATATTGATTAACATAGGGCATTTTAATCTAATTTCTTTATTTTCAGACACAATTATTATGGTTAACTAACTTTTTTAAACTGTGTGATATAGTTATGTTATCTATTACCAATATTATATATAGAGATAATTTTTAAAGTAAATTTTGAAATAATTTAATAAATAAAATATTTAATTAATTAAATAATAAATAAAATAATAAGAATATGTTAAAAAATGGATAAAAAATGAAAGTAAATAGTTATTTTTATATAGGTAAACCATAGATAACAATTTTTAACTGTTGCAAAAAAGAACATTTAAAGACAACAATTATTTTTTATTGCCTATTGAAATCGGTAATAGTTTTCAAATGTTGCAATAAAAAAAGATTTATAGGCAATAGTTTGTATGTTGCTTATTTTAGAATTTTATTGCAATAGTTGAAAATTGTTACCTATTCAACTTTTGAATACAGTTTTCAGTTGTTACCAAATATTTGTTGCTTAAAGTGAGAATCAATAGTAACACATGAAAATTGTTACTTATTCATACATCAGGCAATACTTTTACAATTGTTGCAAATCAAAGTGTTGGAAGAGGCAAAAAATGTTGTAGTGAGAAGACAAGTACTAGAGGTGAAAGCTATGGCTATATGGATTTGCTGGGAAAAAACTCGAATTATTAAGTTTTGCTTTTCCATAGTTGATTCCACAAATGGTCCAAAATATTTATGGTGGTCCACGACAGTAAAGGCAGACAAATAGACAAGCAATTTCCGGAAAAAGGATAATCAAGTAATTTCCGAAAAGTATAATGGTCCTATAAATTTGTGAACGATCTAGTCTTGATGAATATCCACTCGGGAACTTTCGTTTAGATGCTTAATTGCTTCCTATTTCGCAGCTTCAATGGCGAAACTAGGAAATGAAAAGATCACTTGGATAGTGAGTGTGGTGTTCTGCTTCTTCTTGTCTTTGGTGCTTGCCATGGCCACCACTGGCGATGGTGCATCTGGTAAGGAACATGAGGTTGAGAGGCTTTTGAAGAAGTTGAATAAACCAGCTGTTAAGTCTATTAAGGTATACAATTTAACGTCTTCGACTAGTTTTGATTGTGACTAATATTTTAATTCAAATGTTTCTACATAAAAGAAAACTTCAACACTATTCAACCTTTTTTTAACTTCTACTCTAGATATGTGTGTGTTTGGCTTCTAAAACTTGATTAGTTTATGTTTTAAATATATAATTTCTTAAAAGTATTTTTTTCTATTTTTTTTGTGAAAACTATATTTGTAGAAAGTTAGTTTGGATCTTTTCTATCCATGTTTGCAATGTTCGAAGTGAAGAAAGAAGAAGACATTCATGTGAAAAATTATTTACGGGTTTTAATTATAATTTACCAGTATATTTGGATTAACATTTGGTATTATAAAAAACAGAGCCCTGATGGTGACATAATCGACTGCGTGCATATTTTAAATCGGCCAGCTTTTGATCATCCAAAACTGAAAAATCACAAAATTCAGGTAAAATCATATATATCTTAAGTTGTCTTTTTTTGTTTTATTTGATTTTTTAACAATATAAATCTAAAGCCAATTATGTCCTATTCCATGAAGATGAGGCCAACATTTCATCCAAAAAGCAACCAATTTTTCAAAATCAAACCCTATTGCTCAAATGTGGCACCAAAGTGGAAATTGTCCAAAAGGAACCGTTCCTATAAGAAGAACAACAGAAGATGACGTAATGAGGGCAGATTCTATCAAACAATATAGTAAAAGAAGATCATTATACTCCACGGAAGGCCACGAGGTACTACTATTTTTTGTTTTGTTTTGTTTTGGTCATGAGAAGTACTACTATTTTCAATATATATATATATATATATATATAGTGTTACCAGTATCTTGAAATATAGGTTGTAATTTGCTTCTTTTTTAAATGCTTGTTTTTGTGTTTTGCATACTAAATATTTTTTTTCCTTGTTTCGTTGTTTGTTCAATGCCTCTAGTATGCTGTAGCTGATTTGAGGGGAGATAGGTATTATGGTGGCCATGCATCTATAAACATTTATGGAAGCCCCTTGTTCAAGAATCCAATGAATTTAGTCTCTCAAATTTGGATTGTGAATGATGATGATCCGATTAATGTTGAGACCATCGAAGCTGGTTCGCAGGTATTCTATAATTTCTTTCAAGTCACATGTACGCCTGATGGATGAGTACATTTTCATACATTCTTTCAAAAAATACAACTTTTTGTATATTTAATTCCTTGATTTACTGTTTCTGGAAAATTAGATCTCTCGACAAATATAAGGGGATGACAACCCTAGACTTTTTACATTCTGGACAGTAAGTTCAAATTTCTTACCAACATATAATTTCTTGTTTTCCTCAAACCATTGTATTTGTGTTGTTAATTATTGTTATATTAATTTTAATACATTCCTTTTTCATTCCACAGAATGACTCATATCAGACTCAATGTTATAACCTCAATTGCCAGCCTGGCTTTGTTCAAGTTCATAACAAAGTAGCGGTGACAAGCAGCCTAGAACCATCTGTCTATTATGGTTCTCAAAATGAATTATCCATCCTTATCTGGAAGGTATTAACTAGGTTACAACTCATTCTTGCTTAAAGTTTAACTTGGTGTGACTAAGGGTGTTCATAGGTTTGATTTTGAAGAAAATTCAAACTGAACCAAATCAATTGGTTCTCCAAAGCTTGGGACCTATTTGGTTTTTCTTTTAATCAGTTTGGTTTGGTTTTTTGAGTGGTTTGATTTGGTTTGGTTTGGCTTAGGTTTTGGTCAAGTTTGAGTTTTTTTTAGATATTTTTCATAATCAATATATATATATATATATATATGAATATTTACTATTAATTTTTAACTATTAATTAGTATTTTCAATGAAAGAAATCTCTTGAGAACAAAAGAATATTTTGAACAATTATTTAGCACATTTAAATATTAAAAACTAATAGTAATATGTTACCCTTAAAACACTTAATTATACAATTTTAAAATTATCATAAAAAATTATACAGAATATTAAACTAATTGTAACATATTTTTTACTAGTGATTTATAAATAACTAAATTTGGGAAGAAAAAAAATTTAGACAAATTTATAAAAATATATAAAATAATTATAATAAAGCTTGGTCTGGTTTGGTTCAAGAGATAAAAAGCTAAACCGAACTAGACCAATCGATTTTGACAGAATAAAAAATGAACTAGTCTTTATTTATGATTAGTTTATATTAGTTTGGTTTTATTTAACTTGGTGTAATTAGTTTAGATCGATTTTGAATACCTTAGGTGTGACTTATGTATTTAATCCATTGGTCCCTACACTTTATAACACAATTACAACTTAACCCTTAAAAAAACTGGATGTTAATTCTTTCTTTCTTTCTTTCTTTTGTAAGAACATATATTCCTTGTGAAATCCAAACAATTGAAATCACCAATTAATAAACTTCAAGGAATCCCTAACGGCACAAAGTCATATGATCCGGCTATTAGGTAAAATATTATGACAACAACAAAAGATAACAATGATGATGATGGTGGTGATTGAGCAGGATCCCGAAACTGGAAACTGGTGGATGCAAGTTGGGGTACATCTACAGGATATTGGCCAGCTTCTTTATTCGATCGCATGTCTGAGAGTGCATCAAATGTAAAGTGGGGCGGTGAAATAATAAACCTGAGATCTGATGGGCAACACACCACAACAGGCATGGGAAGTGGCTATTTTCCTGAAGAAGGTTATGGGAAGGCTAGCTTTTTCAAGGAGCTTTCTATTGTTGATGCAAATAATAATCTTGTCTCTCCTAAAAACTTTGGCATTATCGTTACCAATCCCTATTGCTACAATATTACCGCTTATGACTATTCAAATGACTCGGGTGTCTACTTCTACTATGGCGGTCCTGGGAGAAACCCAAATTGTCCGTAGCCCTTATGATGTAATCTTGGTGGGTGGCAAATATATGATGGAACGAAAAAAAATATGAGCATTTTATTTAAAAAGTACAAAACTATTTATTTATATCAAGGAAATAAAGGAATTGTGATATGGGTAGAATTCCCTAGCCTGATGGGATATTGTACAAGATGAGTCTTGATAAAACAAGTCTTAATGAGGTTGAAATATTATATAGTGTGATATTATGCAATGTTAGATTATGTTGCACGATATAGTTGTGCAGGAAAACATATTTCTTTTAACAAACAATTTCTGTAATTAAATGTTACATAAACCACTAGAATATATATATATATATATATATAATGTGATTAAGTGAAGAGCCACTAGAAAGTGGTAAATATGTTGGGTCTAGGAAGCATCTTTGAGGAGACGAGAACACAGCTGAGCTACCTAATGGTTGCACAAAAACACAAATAAATAAGTATGATACCACATTTTAATCCAAAACTTTACAATGTTGAGTTTATTAGTCTTTTTCACTTATATGCCTTTTCTCTAACTGTCACACCCCAAAATTAGGTGTGACCGGCACGGGATATGAGCAGAAAACTCACATCCCTAAAGCCTTGATCAGACAAACTACAAAGCTAATATTTTGAACACATTAATAGAATGATTAAATTTTTTTAATATTAAATCAGATATTCAATTAAAAAAAATGAGGTCCTACCTGTGGTCTACATGGAGCACTTAAGGCCAGACTCTAATATAAGTACAAAGTTCAAATTTTTATCAAATTAGAATTTATCTAAAATAATTCTTTTGCTCTAGTTCAACAATAAAACTCCTCAATGAAAACCTCGAGATACAAGTTTAACAATACCATTTGAGACCAAAAATAAATTTTTGATGAATAGCATCCCAACAATAAATAATTAAATGTGTATAAAAGAAAATTTAACATAATTATGTGTGTTAGAAATATCAATTTTTGCAAACAAATATTTAATAAATTTTGTCATAAAAGGACTTGATGTAACTTTAAATAAATTCTTGATTCATTAAAGTATCATATCAAACGTCATTATCATGTAATTTCAATAAAGAAAATAATTGCATAAAATAATTATAGAAATATGTTATTCATCAAAACCAATGAAAAATAAATCCATCAAATAATTAAAAACTCATAATTATAGAGACTTATCAGAACAAGTAACAAACATGGACACACAGTCAACAAGGGTAAATAACCAAACGCGACTCTCGCCACGAAGACAAATGTAGACACATAGTCCACGAGAGCAAGTAACCAAACCAGCTAAAGCCACGAAACAAATGTGAGTACAATGCTCACGGATAACCATCCCTCCGTTCCACATGCGTTAGCCATCGCACGGGACTAGCACCTCCTATATACACCCTGCTAACTAGGTGTACCATGGTGTGTCAAGGGCTAACGGAACTGTCTTTTGCAACCAGTGCTCTGTAATAAGTCCCTTTTAAATTCAATTTCAAACATACGAGAAAACCATTGCTAATAAATAAATTTTTCATTTTTCAGAGTCGAACTAGCATGAATCATTCTCTATATCAATCCAATATTTAATAGAATAAAATCTCATAATTAAAATCTAAACTTTTAGTTATTAATCAATTAAAATTTCAAAACTGATAAGGGTAGTTTCACAAAATAAGGAAGTTTGGCAAACAAACTATTCAATAAACACATCATTGTTATTAAAATAATTTGCATAAAAAAATACTATTTTAGTAAAGAAAATTTTTATTGAAAAAAATTAGTTGGGACACTATCCACTCACCTAAGACATTTTTAAACATATAACTTGCTCCTAATTAACTCCTTTTGTGATATGGTCTGCACCTTATTTTCCTAGCGCCCAAACGATCATTTTTGTTATCTCCTTTATTCACTTCATAAATTCAAAATCTTCAATCTAAACAAATTTAAAGAATGGGAAAAGATAACATCGACATCGATATTTCACAAATAAGAACCCATTTAAGTTTAATTAATAAATCTTCAATAAACACATATATAGATAGTATTTAAAATTTTCAAGTCTTCATATGGAAAATAAACAACTTCTGTGATTTAATCAGCATTACCTATCACTCATTTATGTCCAATTTTCATAAACTTCCCTCGTCACACATTCTATCGGACATTTCACAAGCACACAAAAGTTACCATAAGAACAAACAAACTTGATCTTTGAAGTATCAGCCAAGTACTTTTTAAATCTCTTGACAAAAAATCCAAACATACAAAAAAATTCACTATGCTTCCTAAACACGTTTCTTTATCAAGAATAAATTAAAATTCATAACACAGAACCTAAATCCATAGTATTAGCTTTTAAACCTTGAACATACTTAATTACTTCATTTCAACCCTTCTACACATTTTCATGAACACCTTAATAGCATTAACATTCAAACCACATCATCAAACTTCTTATGTATTCCTCAAAACTAACAAAAAGGAAACCCCAAATTTCCCTTTTATTCAACGTCCAACAGCAATTAAAGCAAAGCAATTCCAGTTCATTGCATACAAACACGTAGAAGGCAGAAAAGATTTAATCAAAGACCAAACTTCCTACCTACTCACAATACGCAGATAGATTCGATGATAGGGGGAGAAAGGATAGAACTTGGCTCACCAATGAAACAAAGAGAAACGATCAGGAGGGTCAAAGCCCTCGTCACCAGAACAGCCCCAAAACAGGGGAGAAGAACTTGCGAACTGGACAGCAACTGATAGTAGTGGATGGACTGCGATGTGACGCATGAAGAACAGAAGCTTTGTGCGCACGCTCAAACACCCACATGAAGACATTGACGGAAGTCAAGAAGGAGAAGAGGGACCCAACTCAAAACAGGGCAGAAAAAAAATATATCCGAAGCATTGAGCAACAGCGGCTAAATTTCCAAAAATGATTCCAAATTTCTGAGAGCATCCAAAACAATTTCCCACTCACTACTCACACTGACAATGGAGAACAGTGGAGAAGGGAATGAATGGTGGAGAGACTTTTAATTTCACCGACAATGGAGTAGAGAATGAATGGTGGAGAGCTTTTTAAGTTTACTCCTCTCTCTCTCTCTCATATGATAGATGTCGGTTAAGGGAATGACTGGGAAAAATATAAGAGTACGGTTTTTTTTTTTCCAAAGAGGGTTTAATAATTTCCCAAAAACTGATGCAAAAATAATTATAATAATAATAAATATAAAAATCTCTTCTATTACATTACAAGGATTCAAAATACAGTCCGATGGTAAACGTTGAGAAGAGTTTTCACCGAGCCACTAATACATCTTTACAAGTCAATCTCAATTTATAAAAATATCTTTAAAATACTTTACAATAAATATTTTCTTAAAATTTAAGTTATTAAATTACATTATTTTAATTTTTATTTTTTTTGCTATTTTTTCATCACAATTATTGAATTACTTGAACAATTAAATATTTATTGTATATTTCAGAATTCCAATTTTTTTTTAGATCATTACACTAACCCAACTCTATTCGATGTGAAACTTTGTCTCCACACCAAGGCACTTGAATGCAGAATTTGTTAAAAACAAAATCTGAAATATAAGCGCAAAACACTACTAGAATATGAAATGTATAGAAGTCTAAAAGGATTGATAGATATTAATTAAATATATTATTTTCTTATCATCTTAGTTTACCATGACCAATACAATTCTCTCATGTCTCTCTCAACCTCTATTGCACTTTGCAAGTGCACAGATAGTACTAAGTAATAAGAAATGAGTAGAGTATCATTTCCATGAAGAAATATTTGTATTAAAAATATGGTCAAGCAAATGATTTTGTAATTTCAATCAAGTTAAACAAAACACAATTGGTTGGATAAAATTAATTTTGAAAATAAGATTAAAAAATTTGAAAATAAAGAAAAGCAAATGATTCTCAAACTTCAAGCACAAAATGAAACATAAGATTATTTATCCCCCTTACATCTCATAACATCAAAATTACCTTCTCTCATAAATGTTTTTAATGAAAATAAGTACTATTCTAGAGTTTCAAAAATATTTGAACAAGCTTTCTCAAGTTATGAACAAGTGTTTAATTAAATTAATTGCTCAATCTCTTGTTAAAATTAATAAAACCCACTTTTAAACTCCAATCCTAATGTAGTTATGCAAGGTTAGCAAGTATATCTCTATCTTACTAACAAAACCATCCATTCAACATGCAAATTCAAGTTCTTGCACTATTTTATCCAAGTTTTACACTCAAATTAGCTCTCTCAAGCATCATTTAAGTGAATCCAACATCTAAATGGTGGCTAATCCCTTAGAAGCATTAACAGAAGAGTAAAATAAATACATATATATCATTAATCACAAAAAGAGAGGAGAAAATTAGTGTTAATCCATACAAGGGTTCCAAATAATCCTAGAACAAAGTGTTTAACTACTCATAATTATTCACAAGCTATAAATACACGAAATATTTAAACTCATGTTAGATTAGAAGAGAGAAAGGAGAAGAAATAGGAAAATCAAGAGAATGAAGCTTCAAATGTATTCAAATCTTCATTCCCTTGCTCCAAGCTCTTCTAACTCCAAAACCCTAGCATACAAAGCTCCCAATAGAGGCTCAAGGTATGAAGAATGCATTTTGGGTCAAGTTAGCATCATATAAGTGTCCTACCCAATCAATTTCAATTAATAAAACATAGCAATTTTCTAGTAGTGGCAAAAGTCCCAACTTTGTGATGACTTTGAATAGTTTTGCACTCTTGTCCAATTAATGTGACAACTCTTATTTGCATATGATTTCTTCATCCAAAAATCTTTCAAAAGTATCAACAAAGGCCTAGAAATGCATCTAATTAAAGTTCAACTAAAATAACACAAAATTAGCTCAAAAGTATTGAATTAAAAACAAATGTGCAAATCTAAAGCAAGATACACATTTTTCTAATTTGAACAATCAAAATATATACAATTGAGCTAAA